GGCAAAACTGATTCTTTTCGTTGGCATGGAGCTTTTTCAAGCTACAAAAGCTGGTTGGAGGAAAGAATGGTCACTGCTAAGCATCTCCTAAAAGAGATTTGGTGCAATATGAAGCATATTCTTTAATAGAGCTTGCTTTCTGCATTAGCCCATTCATACTCCATAAAAAGTTGCCGTCCACGAAAATTATTTCAGAGTCAGCCAGGCTCAGTCACGCCCCTTGCCGTATATCATTCTTTGACGTAATTCATTCTCACCCAAAGAGGTCTATAGCTAACAAATCAGCAGTTAATGCATTAAATTATCATCGTTATTTCATTTTTAATGCTGTAATTGATAACACGTGGTTCTGTGCATGCACAGATGTTGTACTTGAAATTGGTATTTGCTTCCATCAATTCCACTCTCAAAAGTATTTGGAATAGGAATCGATTGTAAATTTCTGGATCCGCCTATATCTATATATAGTATGATATTACCTTTCCAATTCAAGAGCATCTCCTTTTCTCTTCTCCACTAGTTTATCAGTGAGTCCACGAGTTATTGACACTGGTATTATACTACTAGTACTAACAACAGATCCTACACTACCTACTGAATGCTGCTGGTCTTTATCCATTCGTAACGAGACTACATTGACCGTCCTGACCTTTTAATAGATCCATAGATCTAATAAGAGTTAACACGGTAGGCTTAAATATCAACCACGCCTTGTTCTGCAGCAGCAACCAGCCCCACCCTTTTCTTGCTGTGAGTCTTCGTGCTGTTTTGCGTCTTTTTTTCTGGTGCATTTCCAGTTAGATCTACAGGAAAGCTGGTTCCTTTGATTAAGGATCTTCTCTTCAATTCCTTTTATAAAGTCATTCTTTCTTTATTGTGGTGTAAGTGATCACTGAAATAGCTACACCTTAAGGTACCTAATTCTCTCATTGTCCTCCATACTATAGTACATGAAATAGCTACACCTTAAGGTACCTAATTCTCTCATTGTCCTCCATACTATAGTACAAGATGATTTATGTCTCTCAATGGAGAGCAAGTATTGGACTGTGGAACTACAGTCAAGCAACCTCCAGTAGATCAGCTAATGGCCACCACTCTCATTCATTCAAAGCTGCAGTAGACAGCAAGTTAGGCAGTACTACATCGAGAGAGAAGACATCTAAACTGCTAGCAGCTCTGTATCCTATGGTTTCTCTTCTTTTATCATTATTAAGATATATGAAGCTCAATTTTATTCCTCCAACTGGTAAACAAACTAACAGTATAAGTTATCATGCAGTGTATTTACAATAGGTATAGATCTAATTACTGTTACTGTTATGATTCACTACCTCCAGTCATTAGTCTTGTTTGTAGCTACTATTGGCAGTAGCTCTGACCTGATCTACTATTTGGTTTTACTTCTCCTCCTCTTATCAGGAGATGTTGAACTCAATCCTGGTCCTATGATTGATGATCAACCATCTTGTCTCTTTTTTGCAAAGTATCTTAAACCACTTGTTAACTGGAAACCATTTGCTCTTTGTCTTCCTGGAATAACACAATCTGATGTCATTATAATTGATAAAAAGAAAAGAAATGCCCACCTCATGAAAATGGCTGTACATAAGAGATGGTTACAAGTTAATCCTACAGCATCGTGGAGAGATGTTGTTAATGCTTTGAAACAATGTAAAGAGAATGAACTAGCTAGAACTATCGAAGACAAAGTGATAGATCCCGCAGCTGGAAGAAGTACTAATTATGGTATGGAAGTCAGTACCAGTAATGCTAATCTGGGTCCTATAACAGGTAAACATACACTAAAATACAACACTCATTAACTGATACACTACTGCAGGTAATCCAAAGGATATAGTAAGGACTCATTCTGATAAACTCACTGATGGAATCTCACAAAATCTCTATAAAATAACAACTGAATTACATGCTAAAGGATTGATACCACAACAAGCTTTTGATGATGTACTTGTAATGGGAGTTATGACTGATTATACTAAAGCAATGAAACTGATGAATGTATTGCATGGACAGTTGGAATCCTCGTTTAATCCAGAGCAAGATCTTATTGATATATGTCACGTATTAATAAACCAACAACATCGTACACTAACAGATATTGCTACCTCTATATTACACCAGTTAGGTGAGTGTGTGTGTGTACATTATCAGTATGATCAATATAGTCATTATATCTCAATACAATAGGTCAGTCTATACCTGACAATGTCAGTTCACATACTATGCTACCATCACCAGTTGATGATATATCCAATACACTAGTTACTAATATAAGAGGTAATGAAATATATAACGTCACATGTATGCATTGTTTTTATGTATCTTGATCAATAGGTCAGCCCAATGTAGCTAAACCCATTAGTTCAGTACCTAATGATGTTCAAGGATATGCTGACAATATGAGACAACACTACAAACACCAACCTATTGTTGCTACAGACTGGCCACCAAAAATTGGGAAAGATTTCTTTGGAAGACTAGCACTAGTAGAAAAACAAGACTCCAGCACACAAGCAGAATCAGCTTGGCATATGCTAAGAGGGCAAGTTGATAAAACAGTTAAACTAACTGAAAACAAAGAGATAAGTGTTGAAGATGTCCTCCAATCCACAGATAGCTCTCTGTCTCTCAGAGTAGTAATAGATGGTCCTCCTGGTATTGGCAAGACCACACTTTGCCGTAAACTGTTAAATATGTGGTCTAATGGGCCACTTGTACATCAACAGTATGACTTGGTACTTTATTGTCCTTTAAGGAATAGCAAGATAGCTACAGCTACTACACTAGCTGACCTGTTTGTGCATCAACTTAATAGATATAAAAATGTACCTGAATGGTTTGAGGAGAGGGACGGAGAAGGATTACTGATAATCTTTGATGGTTGGGATGAACTGAGTGAACAACTCAGACAGTCTTCATTAGTTGCTAGTATCATTTGTAAAGAGAAGTTAGACCAATGTTCAGTAATTGTTACCTCTCGTAGCTATGCCTCCTCTTCACTTTTGAGAATGGATACTCTCAGTAGACATGTTCAGGTTATTGGGTTTTCTGAGGAAGAAATATTAACAATAATTATACAAACACTTCAAAGAGATATAAAACTAGCACAAGAACTTATTGATGAGAAAAAAGAACATGATAAAAATATATTTAATTTTTGGAAAGCGGCTTTCACAACTACTCAAAGCAGTAAGGACTCACAACTAGCAGTGAAACTCATTAATGATCTTAAAGTACGAAATGATGTCCAATCATTGTGTTATGTACCACTAATCTGTTCTATGGTCATCTTAGTTTATCGCAAGGAAGGAGGACACTTACCAACAACACTCACTCAACTGTATGAGAACTTCATCTTACAAACTATCAGAAGACATGTTAAAAGACATAACATTAACCCACATACTTTAGGCAGTCTTTCTTCATTACCATCAAATTTAACTGAAACTTTACATGAGATGTGTAAAATAGCTTATACTAACCTGGCTAGTACAAGAATGACATTCTCTTCACATCAACTACAGTCACTGAGTGAGGTAGTCAAGGAAGACTATCTTGGATTGATGACAACATTTATAGAATATGATGAGGAGAAGTATCAGTTCCTTCACTTGAGTATACAGGAATTTCTAGCTGCATGGTGGATAGCTAAACATGAGAAGCAGACAGAGGAAGTGTTTCAGGATCACTTTGATGATGATCACTTTCGAATGTGTCTGAGGTTTGTGGCAGGTCTAACTCACCTTGAACATGAGAGCTATCAGCAGTATTTTAATAAACAACAACTTGAAATACAGTGTAAGAGGGAACCATTGTTTGGATTTGAGGCTTGTTATCTCTCCTACTTCTATCAGAATCCTGAGATTAGAGATGATCATATCAAATCTGATGATTTTGACAATGTTCCCATTCTTCTTCTTCAACTCCTGTATGAATCACAGAACACAACATTATGTCAAGTATTAGCACAATCTACCAACAACCACTCACTGTATCTTCCTGGGGATAGAGAATCATTTTCATTATCATTGTTTGACTGGCTGTGTCTCAGTTATTGTATAAACAATTCCAACACAACATGGAATCATTTGGACCTGGGGACAGTACCTAACCAACAGTCACTATCAGTCTTCACTGCTGGACTAACCAATAACTCACTACAGACCCAGTGTAAGAGACTGGAGGTAAAGATGGATGAACCCACTGATGAATTAGTACACAAATTATTACAACCATCACTTCTATATAATATTCAGGAGTGTTACTGTGTATTATGGCATGGTCAATATGTTCCCTGTCTTATATTGTTACACTTCCTCAATCTTCCTCTATTGAAGATACTGCACTTAAGAATGAACTATTATACTATACCAACAGTTGACAATACATACTACACAGATAAGTGCACCGAACTTGAGACATTTATAGAAATGAATTCAACACTACAAGAAATGAAGATTGAGTATGAAGGAGATAATGAAATAACAAGTACCATTATCAGTGTTATTAGAGGAGTAACAAG